TTTAAAATATTGTTCTTGTACAATAACTTAATAAGGAACAACGCACCCCTGGAATATGCCATGATAAAATCAAAGACAAGCTGGTAGCTATTTTTTTTCCGTTAAAAATACACCCGATTAATTGCAAGGTTGATACCTGCCTTTGAAGATTACAGAAGAGCGACACCTGATTTGAAACTGGTCAATTTTACCATTACACAGCTGCGTGATTCTTTTGATATACATCAGAAGATCAAATCAGTCTACTTGTATAATCTACCAGGTGGCGCATATAACTCGTATAATCTACCAGGTGGCGCATATAACTCGTATAATCTACCAGGTGGCGCATATAACTCGTATAATCCACCAGGTGGCACACATAACTCGTATAATCTACCAGGTGGCACATATAACTTGTATAATCTACCAGGTGGCACATATAACTTGTATAACCTACCAGGTGGCACATATAACTTGTATAATCTACCAGCTAGGTGGCGCATATAGAGCCTTCAGTTTGGCCATGACATATTCCAGGGGTGCAGAAAACGGGAGAAAGGGTAGCTCCAGGAATTTCGATGACGGGATCAGCAATAAAATACTCTAAAGCGATATGCTTTTTGGTATATTTTTATTGAGCAGCTTTTTCTCAGATTTTAGCATAAGTCACATGTGCTATTCTCTCCCATATTCTGTGAAGCAAAAATACCACATACTTCCCATAAAACAGAAACAATGTGAAGAGTAAAACCAGTGATCTAAACAGAACTTACTTGTGTAAGTACCGCAAACATTCAATTATATTGCCACAACTTATACAAACCAAAGAGATTTGTGAATGCAAATATGAAACAATACAAAGAGTACCCTGAACAGAGACAGCTTTGATAAAACCACAGTTGTTATATCAGTCAAACATTTAAAAATATATGCAATATGTCAACGATTTACCATGTATTTCAATACAATTGTAGTTATCTGGAAACCGAGAGAAGTTGACCCCTGCCAGCATGTTTGAAAAAAGTAAACGTAACCCACAATATGTTGTACAATACAGACCTGAAAATATGATGCAAAACTAACGACTGATTAAATTCCCAAAGTATGTATTGTAGACAAAACAAGTCTGGACGGCTTATAAGGTATGGACCGCATTAACTTAAACTACAGGCACTTTCCGTTCCAATCGTAACCATTCGTATTTGTCTCTCTACAAGGACAGGACAAAAATCTAGAAATATATTCTTTTCATTTTTTTCAAGGTCCAACCTCAATCAACGTTTCCTTTTAGGACAAACTAGGGACATTCCCCTTATACTTTAATACTAAATAAAGATAAGTTCTGGAGGCGCTTAATCCTCTTGATATAAACAAAAACACTGATGCTTTGTTGTTCTCTCTGAATGCTAGGGATACTACATTGCAATATTTCACCTAGTCCAAATTATTCCGATGTTTTATCGACTTTTTTTCATATCGGTCTGTCGTCAGTTAATCGACGACAGACCGATATAAAAAAAAGTCGATAAAAATGTCGGAATAATTCGGACTATATTTCACCCAAATTAAAGACAGAACCTTCCTAGTTCTATTTGTGTACACCCTGTCCCAAGCACACACTTTAGCATGTGTCAGAGCTAAAGGCTGATTTTGATTCCAGACTGATTCTCAATACCCTGTCCTCCCCTAGGAAACTAGCTTTTATGGAGTGGTGACATGGATTAAATTAAATCACTCATAAACTGTAACAGTTTTATTAATATGAGGATATTTTCTAAGTTGTGTTGTGATCATGAAGAGTTTTTGAAGTATAACTGAAAAAGTTTCAGTTATTGTGACTGTGTGTATATCTGATCACTGGTGGAAAAAAATCTAAAATCCATGTGATCCATATTTATATCATATTAGTTTGATAACATTCTGACAACAAGTTCTTTTTAAACTGACCATTTTTTTCCCTATAACAATATATCGGAATATGTATCTACACTCCAGATGTATTGCGACAGCCCTATCATACAGACATAATTACTTTTGTAGAAAAACCTATGTTAAGGTGGCTCGACACATCGTCATCAGCGTCCATTTTCGTGACTTACTTCCGGAAAAAGTACAGCTCGGACTCAATTATCTTGATCGAAATGTGCATGTACACCGTGTCGTCATTTCCGTTTTGCGTATCAGGTATTCAATATCGTAGTGCAAATTATAGTAACACCTGGGCCGTTTGCGTTTAAACGGTCAAACCGATCGGACCACTATTGTTCGTTTATTAAATAAGGTAAGACCTAGTTATCTGATGCTGCTTTCAGGCGAGCCTTGAGAAAGCCTTGCAAGTCTTGCATACACATTTGTAGGTCCGCCAGGATTTATACCCGGAATTGTTACATTTATAAACGGTCAAACCGGTTGTTCCGCATAAACGAACAGGCCCCTGGTAAACAATAGTACACGTGCGTGCCGATGATATGTCAACACCCGATATCGAGATTTTACCGGGAAATGTATAATCACACGTACTTCAGGAATAAAGCTTTCCAATTCATTGACATAAACAGACTCACGGGAAGACAGTGACATGAGACCAGACGACCTCAAGAAGGTCATATAGGAAACACATGGAATGCGGACGTACCAACCTCATATGTGCATATCACGTGCTTACACGAGTTCATAAGCTGAGGGAGTTTCGCTCTGTCGATTAAATCGTGTTTACAAATGTAGTCTACTTACTCTGTGAAAATAATGTTTTGTAAAATATCAAGATACCTATGAAATGCATGTGTGAGGGCACGTGAGAACGGCATACCATGCGATAGCCTCTGGTCACATATGTACCTGACATGTAATTATAAATATACCGTGAGTTAGCGGACTGTGGAATGATGTCCAAAGTGTACATGACTGAGGGTAATTTGGTTCCATTAAAGAACAATAAATTGATAATTTTGATATCATATTTTTGATTTATTTCCATCATTTGTTATATGTAAACAGAGACAACTGTCATTGTGTAAATGTCATCCCTCTGCAAAAAGTTCCGATTTTTTTCAAGGAAGATAACTCTCACCCGGATCAAAGTGATTGTAAAATGTAAAATAAATTAATTATAAAGTCATTGTGTATATTTTGTTCAATTTCTCACTCTATATGTATAGATCTGTGTGTCCTGTTTGCTTTTAGCTTGTAGATAATCACTTTTATCCGTTCAAATTCAATAAAAAACACTTTGTGTAACATGTGTTACATATTTTGCGATAAATAAAATATTTGTAGGATTAATTATAAATGCTTCTTTTCATTTTTTTATTGTTTTTATTGTTCCGAACAATGCCACACACAAAAAAAACCGGAAAATATTAAAAGTGGCGAAAATTCAATTTCTTGGTATTTTTTCCAAAAAATTCCCCGAACTATCGGAATGTTTAGATTTTCATAAAATTAACTCTACATAGTTGCATAACCATTATATGAAAATTTCAACGAATTTTGCTGGTTAATTGCGAAAGTGTGGAGCCACCTTAAATAAACTGTAAAACCCTGTTGTAATGCCACCTGTTAAACGGCCAAACCCACACACCGCCATTAATTTACTCACTTAATTAACAGATTTCCCAAACGTTAATGCACCCGTTGTAACGCCAAACTCGCTGCCGCCATCCGTCATCATATTTCCAAAACAAATGGTTAAAATCACACTATGTTGACCTTGCTAAATACCGCCAATTTGATTCGAGTACAGGTATATCCCGATGACAGAAATATTACGTACATATGTAAATCTTATTGTTACACATGACTGCTGACTGACCAGGTAATCAGCTGTATGTTTTACATGCTCAACAGTTTGATACATTAAATTACAATTTTGTAAAAACAAAAAACGTATTCTGAAGTTATTTTTTATTTTTTAAAGTATAAGTTCAGTTGGTGTGTGAACACTTGGGTTTAAAACTGTAAACCTGATATAGCTCAAAACTCGTTATACCGCCAAAATCACAGAGGACAGAAGGTGGCGGTATAACCAGGTTTTACAGTATGTATCATGTATGCTGTTACATTCTTTCCCTCACTGACGATTTAATTTTGATAAAAATTGACACAGTATGCATATTAATCATAAACACATCAATCTAAATGCACACAATGATGCAAAACACAAGTTGTGCTGGAAAGTTATACGAAAGTTATACGAAAGAATTCAATATATTAAATACATCCAAGTTATTGTGTTTGTATTATATTTGGTGTAAATCTGGACACAATCTCTGTGAACAGGTAACAATTTTTTTTAAACGGCAATACTCCATTAAAAAATGAAAAAAAATGAAATTTCTATATATTTAGTGTAGGAGCAGAAAAACCCAGTTTTAACAAGGGCCATAACTCCCACGAAAATTGACAGAATATTTCGGGCATCTTAAGATATTCATCCAAACTATTTCTATTTTGAACATCTGTACAAACATCGGTACAAACATCGGGTGAAATCCAAAACAAAAAAAGCGTGCAGAGTGATAACAAAAAATTAATAACTTCAGTAACAAACTCTTCAAAGGTATTTGTAAAATAAACATCTGTATCAAATTACATTAAAATCTATCAAAATACTGTATTACATCTTGCACAGGGTTAACAGTAAATGTTGCCACAAGACACTCGACACACAACCTGACCACATTTACCATTTTGATACCAGAGTTACAACAAGCTAATAACAAATTTTTTGGGAAATAAACACCAAAACATGTCTGTGATAAAGACAAATAATGTTCTATGGATTTAAATAAAGGTATTTACTTACAACATATAACACATATCAGAGCAATGAAAAGCTTAAGTTCGGGGTAATAAGCCCAATTTTCTAAACACACTTACTGCTATAGAAAGGTGTTAGCTGGAAACCAAACTGTCCTGTATATACAATATAGGGTCAAAATAAAGGAATAAATCCAGTTCTGATCTTACAGTAAATATACTGAGCTTATTGCAGAAACAACTGAAATATGATAAAATTAAGTGTTTAGTAGAGGATTTGATTAGAGAACAGGTTGATGGAACACCACTCTGCCACTGAGGCAACCTGTGACCAGCAAGGGATGAGTGGGTGAGAACTTACATGTCAGAACATTGTTAGTATGAGACATACAGGACCCTAACTCATAAAGTTTTACCGGAGCCTTGGGCACTACTTCACATAACTCGCTACACTGGGAGTCAAAAGTTAGTAATCGTACACCAAAGCCAAAAGGGGAGCACACCATTCGGCCAGTGGAGCTAAAACACAACTCCTTGATGAAGCCACGTCCAACATTCGGTTCATCTGCATAATACAACAGTCGTTTTTCACAAGGAAACTGTAACGGACTTTCGTCTTCTGATATGTCACTAACTCCCTCACTGTGATTGAACTGGAATACTTGTCTTCTCGGACCTGAACCAAACACAATAGTGAGAATGTCACTTATGGCTCGCCTTGCTTCCAGTTCGTCTGGACTGTCTGTGTGCGGGGAGTCACTTAAACGACTGTTTTCGTCCTGGTCTGGATCAGAGATTTCCCCGTCCTCCTGCTGTGGTTCATCTCTGTCCTCCTGATGGTCCATCCTTATAACTACTGTGTCCCCGACATCACTGTCTGTATCTGATAACGGGGAGCCTGGAGACTCTGTGTCGTGTTGAATATTTGATATTAGCCTAGAATTTGACAAATTTGGCGAGGAAATATGGGCAGTAACTCCTGTCCTTGAAATGTTCACGGTACTCCTAGCGCGGGAATTTGTAATGCGCAAACGAGTCCTCACAGGAACCTCCTCTCCTGACTGATCTGACTCATAGTCCAGCACCCCACGTCTTTGGTGGTGGACCAACGCAGGGTGGTTTGATTGCCTCACTCTGGGTGACCAAGGGCGCACTGGTGACAGGGGAGGACTGGTCGAACCACAATTTTTACGAGTGTCTGATGGATCTTTGGCACTGGAATCTTCTGAATCTTCCTTACCATCCTGCACATCATGAATACAAGTCCACTACAAAATAAATAGAATGTCATTTCAAATTCTATAAGTGTAATGAAGATTTTTTTTACAATCTGTATGCAATCTTGAGGATTTTAACCGGAAATCAGAAATAAGTTCAATATCGTGCTACAAAGAAACAAACTATATAAACGCCTGCCAAAAAGGTCACATGACTTTGGACACATGCTCCATCAATGACCGAGAGTCATACTCAATCGAACGCAATTAATGGCGATATAGCTTGGAAAGAAAATATACTTTTAATATTAATTAACAATTCAGAAATTTAAAAAAAAATCAACAAAAACCTTCTAGTCCACTTAAACTTTCTATGCTGGACTGTATACCCAGATAGTACATACCTACTTGACTCCAGGTTTTTACACAGATTTGTGTCTACACAACACTAATCGGAGTTCTAAGAAGCACATACCATTACTCTTCTTTACTCCTGTCCAAGCTTGTGCACTTAGGTTAAACAGCACAAACCAACTTACCTACAAGTTTCTGTCCCAGCTTCAGTTTTTGGACAATACACACCACTCACCTCAGGATTTCTATCCCAGCTCGTGTTCCTCGATAGAACACACCAACTTACCTCTGAATTTCTGCCCCGACTTGTGTTCCTCGACAGTTCACACCTACTTACCTCTAAACTTCTGTCCCAGCTTGTGTTCCTCGACAGTACACACCAACTTACCTCTGAATTTCTGTCCCAGCTCGTGTTCCTCGACAGTTCACACCAACTTACCTCTGAATTTCTGCCACGGCTTGTGTTACTTGACAATACACACCAACTTACCTCTGAATTTCTGTCCCAGCTTGTGTTCCTCGACAGTACACACCAACTTACATCGGAATTTCTGCCCCGGCTTGTGTTCCTCGACAGTTCACACCTACTTACCTCGGAACTTCTGTCCCAGCTTATGTTACTTGACAGTACACACCTACTTACCTCTGAATTTCTGCCACGGCTTGTGTTCCTCGACAGTACACACCAACTTACCTCTGAACTTCTGTCCCAGCTTGTGTTACTTGACAGTACACACTAACTTACCTCTGAATTTCTGTCCCGGCTTGTGTTCCTCGACAGGACACACCAACTTACCTCTGAACTTCCGTCCCAGCTTGTGTTCCTCGACAGTACACACCTACTTACCTCTGAATTTCGGCCACGGCTTGTGTTCCTCGACAGTACACACCTACTTACCTCTGAACTTCTGTTCCGGCTTGTGTTACTTGACAGTACACACCAACTTACCTATGTACTTCTGTCCCGGCTTGTGTTCCTCGACAGTACACACCAACTTACCTCTATACTTCTGTCCCAGCTTCTGTTACTTGACAGTACACACCTACTTACCTCTGAATTTCTGTCCCGGCTTGTGTTACTTGACAGTACACACCAACTTACCTATGAACTTCTGTCCCGGCTTGTGTTCCTCGACAGTACACACCAAATTACCTCTATACTTCTGTCCCAGCTTCTGTTACTTGACGGTACACACCTACTTACCTCTGAATTTCTGTCCCGGCTTGTGTTCCTAGACAGTACACACCAACTTACCTCTGTACTTCTGTCCCGGCTTGTGTTCCTGGACAGTTCACACCTACTTACCTCTGAACTTCTGTCCCAGCTCGTGTACCTCGACAGTACACACCAACTTACCTCTGAACTTCTGTCCCAGCTTGTGTTCCTCGACAGTACACACCAACTTACCTCTGAATTTCTGTCCCGGCTTGTGTTACTTGACAGTACACACCAACTTACCTCTATACTTCTGTCCCGGCTTCTGTTACTTGATAGTACACACCAACTTACCTCTGAATTTCTGTCCCGGCTTGTGTTACTTGACAGTACACACCAACTTACCTCTGTACTTCTGTCCCGGCTTGTGTTCCTAGACAGTACACACCAACTTACCTCTGTACTTCTGTCCCGGCTTGTGTTCCTGGACAGTTCACACCTACTTACCTCTGAACTTCTGTCTCGGCTTGTGTTCCTTGATAGTACACACCAACTTACCTCTGAACTTCTGTCCCAGCTTGTGTACCTTGACAGTACACACCAACTTACCTCTGAACTTCTGTCCCAGCTTGTGTTCCTCGACAGTACACACCAACTTACCTCTGAATTTCTGTCCCAGCTTATGTTACTTGACAGTACACACCAATTTACCTCTGTACTTCTGTCTCGGCTTGTGTTCCTTGATAGTACACACCAACTTACCTCTGAATTTCTGTCCCAGCTTATGTTACTTGACAGTTCACACCTACTTACCTCTGAACTTCTGTCTCGGCTTGTGTTCCTTGATAATACACACCAACTTACCTCTGAACTTCTGTCCCAGCTTGTGTACCTCGACAGTACACACCAACTTACCTCTGAACTTCTGTCCCGGCTTGTGTTCCTCGACAGTACACACCAACCCTGAGGATGTACCTAAAACAGTCAAATACTTCAGTTATCAATATTTAAATGAAACGTCTATTTCCACAACCATGAATAATTTGTTTCATCATGAAAAAAAAGCCTTATTTTGATACTGAGAATACAAATGATGTTCACAGAACTACTACCTAACAAGCTTGTATCTATATCAACAACTGGGAGCTTAACCAATCAGGAGTAAACTCATATAGCAGAATTTACTCCTTACACATGTATATTAAGTGAAGTATAACATTGGAATGTGTTTGTAATGGATCTACATGATGTCTAAGTTTGTGTGAGTGTATATAAGTACCAGTAGACACACAATTTATAGGTTCCAACCTTTATAATTTGAGAAACGAACATATTTATGCATACACACCAAAAACAAGAGGTCCATTGGACCTGTATCGCTCACCTGGTTTTATATTTTAGTAATTACAACTGAATGCATTAGTACATCTTTATATGAAATTTCCTCAAAAACCAGACAAGATCTATGTTCTAACCCAACTGGGACCACAATATCTGACTTTCAACTAATCAGAAGCCTCCATTGAGTTGCCATGTTAACAGATTTTGAAATAAGTAACATGTCATATTACAGGGTGTAATTAGACAATACTTTAATTTTCATTCAACTATAAGCTTTTATAAACCTAGAAACCAATTTTTAACAATTTATGAAAACTACACCATAGAATATGATAATCTAGCTGTACAGTAGCATTTCTTAGGACCGCAGGGGTCCAATCAACTTCATTCAATTAAGAAATGTTTTGTTCTTCCTCAATAATATTTTTGATCAAATTTTGTACAATCCACTCAGGCAATTAGGGGGTATTAGCGTCTTAAAGCAAAATATCAGATAATTTTCCTGTTTCCCAAACAAGTCTCATTTATTTAGGAAATGATTGCCCTCCCCCAATGAAGTTTCAGAGCAAATTTGGTTGAAATTCTCACTGGTGTTAAGTAGGAGATGAGTTTTAAAACAAATTTAGCTAAGTTCCCCTTCAGGCCCCCCCCCCCCCCCCCCGGCCTCTTTTGTCGAACCAACCTCACTTATTTAAGAAATGATTGCCCTCTCCTAGTGATGCTTCAGATTAAATTTGGTTGAAATCCTCTTTGGCATTTAGGAGGAAACAGGTTTTAAAGAAGAAGTTGACGACGGACAAGGGACGCTGCGCCACGGCACTACACCACCATAGCTAGCTTTACTAGCGTTAATGAGTATATTCTAAGAAATATTTTACTGTAGAGTATTTCTAAAAGTATTTGTCTGATTTCATATGATTACATGCAAATCATCAAATGTTGCATGAATCTTTCTATTGTAGATTTTCAAATCAACAAAAACAAGCCAGGTAAGAAACTGATACGGCCATACAGGACCATGATGGAGGACTGACCTGTAACGATGCAATCACACTGGCCTTGTTGCCCATGGGCCAATCGTTGATAACTTCTACTTGGTTTCTTTTTTTATTTGACCCTGCTCCAGCATGATTCTCTATCAGTTGTCTAAACTGATACGGTGAAAATATAACAAGGTCCTCTGCTAAAGTTGAGAGGTCAAGGTTGTGAATTAAAAGAATGTGCCCATTGTCTGTTGATACAAAAAGCTTTGTTCCATCTGGACTCAACTTTGACCTCATCAGCGGTTTATAATTAAACACTTTCTTTCCTTTAGCTCCATCTTCAGAGTAACTACAACAAGAAGATTTGTAAACATTTTACATATAAATTTGATAAAGAAAATAATATTTTACTTATAATCTTAATGTAAACAAACTTTGACTATTTCACACCATGAAAATTGCAACAGGCTTCTATGAATGTTTCCACTGGAAAATCTACTAAAAGGAAATGACATCAGGCAAAATCTTCTACACCAATAGCTGATATTCAATTTTGCCAAAAGAAGTGTCACCTGAACAACAACAAATGTGTAAATAGGCACCTGCTATCTAGATTTAAAACAAGTTGATACCCTGGCTATCAAATGTTTCACTTTATTTTTTTATGTATGTCGGGTGTAATTACTTACCTGTTAATATCCCAGGTGAAAATACTGCCATCAAATCCAGATGACACAAGAAGGTCTTTATTGCTGGCATACTCCACGTTTTTTACCCAACTCGAGTGGCCATTCAGATTCTGAAGTTTGTATTTTAAGTATCGGGTATCCCACAAGGCTATAGTGCTGTCATCAGAACAAGTAGCTAACACCCTCGTGTCCAGAAATCTGAAACAGGAATGTACAGTTTACACAATTGGTTTATTGATGTAATTATCCTCTTATTTAAGCATTTGGTTCCGACAAAATTGCACAGTCATGGACATCTATTATGATGTATCATGACAGAGAAAAAAATCCAGAAAAATGGAGTGAATTTTTCTATAGAACTTTAACAGGTCTTAAAGTGGTAGTTGAGTCGACATACTTTACTGAATGTTTTGACAACAAGAAACCTACTTGACACTGGTGAAAAAACTGCTGATATACGGCCAAAATAATAACTTTGTTTCCGCTATCATCCTCAGAAATAGTAGGGTAGGTAGGTAGGCAATTTCTGTATTTTGGAAAATATTTTACTATGCTTATATAGAGCATGAGTTCTGACTTTATCAGTACATATCACTAAATGCCAATTAAAACTTCAGGGTAGGCACAAATATCAAGGAACGGTAGGTTTGGCGGAAGCAAAACATTTTTTTATTTGGCCTAAATCGTATGTGTAGTATACTTGTAGATGAGTAACAACAGAGATACATACTTGACACAGTTTGTGTAGTATACTTGTAGATGAGTAATAACACAGATACACGATACATACTTGACACAGTTGACACAGTCAAGGTGAGCTTTTTCTTTGTAGCCACACAGCTTTCCATTGAAGGGATCAAACAACAGGATGCCTTTTCCCTCACAAGCAGCTGCCAGTACTGATCTGTAATCAAACAAAATATCACACTTATATAACATCCAAAATAACCTTTATTGTAAAAGGTAATAAGGGATGTAAGTTTATGCGAAAATATTGAGAGTTGGGAAAGAAATATAAGGATCAATGTATCGTACTTGTTCCCCACACAGAAAAACATGTTGGACACAACCCTGCATAGGTATTAATCCTGCATATGGTTAATAGTTACCGCTTACAGTAACATTTTAACGGTTTTATTACTCAAATTACAGAGGAATATTCTCTCCGATTCACCAGTTGCCATATGATTGACATCACACAAGAACCCTGGTATTGGAAATGGTGGTTATCTGCTACCCAATAAAACGTGTTCAACACAAAACATACCCGTCAGGAGAAAAGTCGAAGTTGAATATGCCCCCTTGGTGAGTGTTGAGAGAGCTTCCTGATGATTCCCAAGTGTGGAGAGGTTTGATGGCCGAATATAGCCCAGCAGTCACTTGGTTTGATTCCCCTGGAGTATTTGGTAATCCAAGTTGCCGCCTACCCTGCCAACGCCACGGACAAAAAACGTTCGATCCCCCTTTAGTTGTTGAAAACGAATAGCCATTACTGACAGGTTTCATGCTGCTAATTACAAATAACTACACAGGACATCACTTTTTGTTTTGATCCATTTCCATGATGGTAATTTCTTCCCATTTACGTAGAGAGTTCTTCTCACGGGAGGTAATTCATTTTTTTTTTATCTCAGTGCACAATAATGAAATGAAGTAGTAACAACACTGTCTGATGGTGGTAAATAACACCATAGATGAATGATGGTATTAAACATGTTTATTAAGATAAAATAGAGCTCGAGGGGGCACAATAGATAATTATATTTCATTATTTGAAAATAGCATAAGTTTAGTCAACGTTTAAACATGTTACGCTGCAGTACATGCAGTAGGCCTTACAGAACAAAAATTACAAGAAAAGTCAACGGTAGGTATTTTGAGACAGAAATAAGACGTTTTCGATGTTTGTGATGTCGATGTTTTTTGTTTAAAATTTATAGATGCATAAATATTTATAAATGTTGCATTGGGGAAAACGGGCAAGTTCACGATCGGTCCATTGTTTTTGTAAAGATCGTTTGGCAGTATGGCATTTAACATTGTTGTATACGTCAATGGTATGCCTTATAGCTTCCTAGGACGCATTTTGATAAAATGGATGTCCCTTCATTTAAACCAGGTTATACAGCCCTAAGTCAACCAAGATATGATACATGTATGGCTGGTGGTCAAACTTGACGTCGTTGTCGAACTGGGAGGGTTCAGTGGCCCTGATTAAAAATACGTTTCATTCCTGAATCCTGTCGCTACGAGAGAAGCTCTACTGTGATAGTCGATGTTGACACTATTTACAGACTTTTATTGATAAGATTTCAACGTCCGTGATTTCCTTCCATTTCAATTACAATTTTTCAACATAAGTGGGACCCGTGCCCTCTAGCCCCGGAGTCCGCCACTGGCGTTTATACAAAATGGCAATCTGAAATTTGTTTGCGTTCGTGTTGAAATTTTGTTTCTCTGACAACTCAAAAGTTGCCATCGCAATTTTTTAAACTATACATTCACATGTAATAAATTAGATAGTTTTTACATGTGATGCGGTATATCAGACGAAAAACTTTGATAAATTAATAGATTTTTGGTTCCGTTTCGTTTTCCCCAATTGGGGCCCCTGTCATTGATTCTTTACGATTTTTACGTTTTCAGTCCAATTTTTCGAATAAACCGAGGAAGTTAGAATGAAATTCATTTCACCTGATACTTTTTTGGAAAAAACATGTGAAAGAATTTCTTTGCAAGGCAATTTAACTCTAGAAATTTAACTTCTTTCAAAACCAGTATGACATCTTACCTCAGCATCCATCGTTGTCGTCATCATTGTTTACGTTGGTGATGGAAGATCGGCAATCATCGGAACGGTGCATCCGAAAGTTAATAAGCCGCCATTGTTATGAAAAAACTCGTACCGAGATGGAATTGTTTTCTGGTTTTCATGCCATATGATCGCGATTTTCGACCTCAAACAGGCATGAATGGTTAAGTTTTTAGGGAATGTAAACATATCAAGAATAATTTTGAAGATATTTTTTTTCACCCAATACTCGTTTCATATTACTTTAATACTATGGAACGCCAAATGATTGAAGATAGGTATAATTAATTGAAGAAAGGTTCAATTCAATTGTATCTAACGTTACAACTGAAATGTACCTATCTCCAATTGAATTCATCTTCATCTTCTACGCTTCCTCCGTCGATTACCGTCGATTACGGAAGTCGGTCTTGTGCTTGTGCATTAATTATTATGTAACGTTACAGTTATTTTTTATTATATTTTTGCTATTTTATATTTTTTGTAATTGAACCTGTCTTCAATTGAATTGTACCTTTCTTCAAGTATTTACGTTTGACTTTATCTCATCTCAATGACGTAAGTACCACTTCAATTATTTACGTTTGACTTGATCTCATCTCAATGACGTAAGCACCACTTCATTTATTTACGTTTGACTTGATCTCACCTCAATGACATAAGTACCACTTCATTTATTTACGTTTGACTTCATCTCATCTCAATGACGTAAGTACCACTTCAATTATTTACGGTGACTTGATCTCGTCTCAATGATGTAAGTACCACTTCAATTGTTTACCTTTGACTTGATCTCATCTCAATGACATAAGTACCACTTCACTTATTTACGTTTGACTTGATCTCATCTCAATGGCGTAAGTACCACTTCAATTATTTACGTTTGACTTGATCTCATCTCAATGACGTAAGTACCACTTCAATTATTTACGGTGACTTGATCTCATCTCAATGATGTAAGTACCACTTCAATTGTTTACCTTTGACTTGATCTCATCTCAATGACATAAGTACCACTTCAATTATTTACGTTTGACTCGATCTCATCTCAATGAAGTAAGTACCACTTCAATTATTTACGTTTTACTTGATCTCATCTCAATGACGTAAGTACCACTTCAATTATTTACGGTGACTTAATCTCATCTCAATGATGTAAGTACCACTTCAATTGTTTACCTTTGACTTGCTCTCATCTCAATGACGTACCACTTCAATTATTTACGTTTGACTTGATCACATCTCAATGACGTACCACTTCAATTATTTACGTTTGACCTGATCTCATCTCAATGACGTAAGTACCACTTCAATTATTTACGTTTGACTTGATCTCATGTCAAAGACGTAAGTACCACTTCAATTATTTACGTTAAACTTGATCTCATCTCAATGATGTCAATTTGGCGTTCCATAGGACACCAGTATAACGTATAGAATATTCCTATTGTTTGAATCATGATTTGATATCGCCGGTTTTTTTTTGTTGTCTATACACTTAATCAGCAATGCTTCTCCTCTATACAGAAGACAGCTGAGCAACCTAAAATTGTAATGGTTTACTCAATAGACACAAATTAGTGAATCAGGGCAAAATACAATGAAGTCTTTCAGATATAGAATAATACCAAAAGATATATTCGTTCCTGTTCCGTAAAATGTCACATGAAAAATGTTAGCTTCAATCCCATTTTTAATTCAACAATGTTATTGACTTTTTAAAAAGCGTGGAGTCCGGACTTGGATATGACCAGACATTGATTACGTGTATCACAGTGGTGGCTGTTCCCAAAATACCCGTATGTCCAAGCCGATGTGATGTGATATGTGTAAGTACGGATAACTTATATAGGACAATACACATAATATGATACTGTTAGGTCCTAATCTTGTTAAGTTTACGTCACAAATCAAAAAACATTTTTTTTTACAATTATTAAATTAAAAGATACAAATGATTTTATTATGAGTACGACTAGATCTAAAGTATAGTGCAGACCGGCTGGTTATATTTAAATCGGCTAATGAGTTGACTAATTATACGTTTGTCACTCTCCATCAATGATCAAGGGCTACAGGTGATGTCACTTCCTTACGTAAGTTCCACTAGTAACCGCGGTAAGCTTTGTAAGATACAATTTAAAAACGTGTGTATTTCAACTTTCTTGCATTTTCATCCAAACAAAATGAAAACATCAAAATGACTATATAAGCATTATTATGAAATTTCATTATCGATATCCAGGGGTTACGCTCATGTCATAGCAAAATTGAAGGCTCGGTGTGCGTCACCTTGTTGATGAGACAAGAAGACTAGTTCGATCCTTTGATATACATCAAAAGAATCTCGCGGTCACGTAACGGTAAAAAATGACAGGCTTTGAAGTCGGACGTCTCTCCTTTGTAATCTTCAAAGGACAGGTATCAACCTAGCGATTGGTCAGATTTTTGTATCCGAGACCAATCAAACAGCGTTCTTCGTGCCTTCAATTTTACTATGACATATATTCCAGGGGTGCAGAGAGCGAAAGTGAGCGTAACCCCTGGATTTTGAGGATGATGAAACTTAGGCAAGTTGCCTTTTTGATAAATAGACCCATATCGCTCAAAAGTTTCCGTTAATTGGACGATAATATATTTTGTTAGTATTGCATGTCACTAAATGATGTATTTAATTAGTTCGATAATGAATTTCCTAATGTAAGCTTTGCATGATTAATAAAAAGAAACTTGCCCCACACCCTGTTGTGTTACAAACCTTACAAAGACGGAGTTGCCAAGAATTGTTTTTAGCTCTGCCAATTTCGATTTTAAGTATATGATACCTTATTCTCAGTTTCTTCGTTCAAAATTTAGTACCGACCAATACGATTCTTCTCTATATTATTCTTAATATAACTGTAAAGATTAGGTTATTAGTGCTATAAGTGTTATTCAGTTAACTATAAAAAATCTGTTTCAAACTCACTATGAATTAGGGATTTCTATTATTTTATACTTGGCATACAAAATTGTATTTTCATTTTATCATTTTTAAACGTAATTAATGTATGTATACCATGTGTATCAAACATTTATTCGAAAAGGCGGGGAAATTAGGATAAAGTTTGTCGACAGGTAATTACAATATTTGTCATGAAGGCGTCCGTTTGCGGGTTATCAGGATTTCTATGACGAAAGCGCCCGTTTGCAGGTTATCAGGATTTCTGTGATGATAGCGTCCGATTTCGGGTTATAAGGATTTCTGTGATGATGGCGTCCGTTTTCGGGTTATTAGGATTTCTGTAATGCTAGCGTCCGTTTTAGGGTTATTAGAATATTTGTGACGAAAGCGTCCGTTTTCGGGTTATTAGGATTTCTGTCATGAAGGCGTCCGTTTGCAGGTTATCAGGATTTCTATGACGAAAGCATCCGTTTTCGGGTTATTAGGGTTTCTGTGATGATAGCGTCCGATTTCGGGTTATAAGGATTTCTGTGATGATGGCGTCCGTTTTCGGGTTATTAGGATTTCTGTAATGCTAGCGTCCGTTTTAGGGTTATTAGAATATTTGTGATGAAAACGTCCGTTTTAGGGTTATTAGGATTTCTGTAATGAAAACGTCCGTTTGCAGGATATTAGGATTTCTGTGATGAAAACGTCCGTTTTCGGGATATTAGGATTTCTGTGATGAAAACGTCCGTTTAGGGGTTATTAGGATTTTTGTGATGAAAACGTCTGTTTGCAGGATATTAGAATTTCTATAATGCTAGCGTCCGTTTTGGGGTTATAAGGATTTCTATGACGAAAGCGTCCGATTTCGGGTTATAAGTATTTCTGTGTTGATAGCGTCCGTTTTCGGGTTATTAGAATTTCTGTAATGCTAGCGTCCGTTGTCGGGTTATAAGTAGTTCTGTGATGAAAACGACCGTTTTCGGGTTGTAAGGATTTTTTGTGATGAAAACGACCGTTTTGGGGTTATTAGGATTTTTGTGATGAAAACGTCCGTTTGCAGGATATTAGGATTTCTGTGATGAAAACGTCCGTTTTCGGAATATTAGGTTTTCTGTGATAAAAAACGTCAGTTTGCGGGTTATAAGGATTTTTTGTGGTGAAAACGTCCGTTTTAGGGTTATTAGGATTTTTGTGATGAAAACGTCCGTTTGCAGGATATTTGGATTTCTGTGATGTAAACGTCCGTTTTCGGAATATTAGGATTTCTGTGATGAAAATGTCCGTTTACGGGTTATAAGGATTTTTTGTGGTGAAAACGTGCGTTTTGGGGTTATTGGAATTTCTGTGATGAAAACGTCCGTTTACGGGTTATAAGGATTTTTTTGTGGTGAAAACGTCCGTTTTGGGGTTATTAGAATTTCTGTGATGAAAGCGTCCGTTTTCGGGATATTAGGATTTCTGTTATATAAAAGTGTCTGTTTGCGGGGTATTAGGATTTCTGTTAGAAAAGTGTCTGTTTGCGGGTTATTACGATTTCTAGGATGAAAAAGTCTGTGAGGAAGTTACTAGAATTTCTGTGATAAAAACGTATAGGTTTCCTATCAGAATTAATGGATGGAAAGCGATTCTAATGCTGATAAAAACGTTTCCTAAACGAAGTTATTGTTATTATTAGAATCACGAGCCTGCACATCGACAGAGAAGAAACCGTAACTACACAGGAGGAGGCAAAAATACATGCAGTTCGGAGAAATTACAGTGATAGTACATCATGGTTATTAAATATTCATGTAAAATTGGTTTGTCGTTGATTTATGAAACATTTTTTTCTTTTTGGGAAAAAATGATTCCCACAAAAAGAATGTGTTAATTTATCTTGTATATCTGTTATAGCACTTTTAATGGAGTATTGAGCAAAGTCCAGCACTTTCCCAAGTTATACATATTTTCAGTACTTTCAAGCAATGACTGCAGTAAACTCAACCACAATAGTCTGTGTGCTATATGAACGATTAAGGGTTCCCCATACTACTGAAAAGAAAAGTATACATTGCCCGAGTCTCCTGAGAATGTAATTAACAAAATATAATCAACAACAGTGTTCTGAATCTAGCTGGGCTAGACGTGAATTCGAACCCTTGACTTCAGACCGATAGACTATCGCCGTTACCCACCGAGCTAGCTGGTCAACGAAAGTGTGCTGGCCTTACTGTGTTACAGTTAACTCTACAAAACAAAATTAACGGCGGTCATTTACGAACAAGAGGCCTAGAGGGCCTGTATCGCTATCATACTGTACTACAAATATTTCCAAATATTGGCTGTCTCTAAGCAACAACCTTAAATGATAGAGTCCCATCCCTTTGTCCCCATTGGGTTGGGGACATCGGTTTAAACAACATTGAATCACATTTGGACAAGGACAATCTATATCAAATTAAATTTAGATAAAGCTATAGGATTAAAGTCCTTACCTACGACTCTTGGAAATTCAAAACAACCTGTTACAAGATTTTAACACAATTTACCACAGTGACCTTGAAAGTCTAACAAAGTCGTTCAGTTGAAAAAACTTGGAAGTCCTTAATCTCAAATATCACGACTCTATGTCTTTCACTTATTCAGAAGAAGCCGTTTGCAGTTTCTGCCATATTTAACCTCTGTGACCTTTAGAAGAAAAGGTTGAAGTCATTTTCATTCGCAAACTTTGTTGGGCTCTATCCAAAGAAGCCATCATCCAAGTTTTATGATTATATGCATTTCAATTCACCCCTGTGACCTTGAAAGTAGGTCAAGGTCATTTTCATTCTCATTCTTTGTCGTGCTCAATTCCAAGAAGCTTCCAGCCAAATATTAAGATTATATACCTTTCTGTCCTTCAGAATAAGTCGTTTTAAGTGTTTGACGCATTTCACCCCTGTGACATTGAAAGTAGGTCAAGGTCATTTTAGTTCTCAATCCTTAGCAGCTGTCAGGCAAACAATAAGATAATAAACCATCCAATTCTTCAGAGGAAGTTGTTTTTAAGTGTTTGACACATTTGACCCCAGTGATATTGAAAGTAGGACAAGTTCTTTTGCGTTCTCAAACTTTGTCAGGCTCCATCCACGGAAGCTACCAGCCAAATATTAAGATGCTTTACATAAGAAATGTTTGAAGCATTAGACACCCCTGCCACTTTGAAAGGTGGTCAAGGCCATTTTTTGTTCTCCAAATTTGTCTGGCTCCACCCCAAGAAGCTTCTAGCCAAATATGAAGATTCTTTACCTTTCAGTTCTTCAGGAGAATTCGTTTGACATTTTTGACCCCAGTGACCTTAAAAGTAGGTCAAGGTAATTTCCAAATTATTTCGGCTTCCATCCAAATATGAAGATTCTATACCTTTCAGTTGTTCAGAAGAAGTCGTTTGAAATATTTGACCCCCGTGACCTTGAAAGTTGGTTGAGGTAATTTTCATTCCAAATTGTGTAGGGCTCCATCCCAGGAAGCTACCAGCCAAATATTATAACTCTATGCTCCAAGATTATTCAGAAGGAGTCGTTTCAAGTATTTGACATATTTGACGCCAGTGACCTTGAAAACAGGTCAAGGTCATTTTCGTTCTAAAACTTTGTCTGGCTCCTACCAATGAAGCTTTTAGCCAAATATCAGGACTATAGGGGGACTGTCTATTCTTCAGAAGAGTTGTTTAAAAGAAAAGTTGAGGACTACGGATGGACGATAGACGCCAGCCCATGACATAAGCTCACTTGCTCTTTGTCGGTCCGAGTGACCTTGCTGCATCGTCCATAAATTTTTCCTTGTGAACACAATAACTTCAGTAAATATGAACCGATTTTGATGAAACTTTGTATGCAGCTTTGTATCAATGAGATCTTGGATGAGTTTGAATAACATAGTTATTCCCCTTGGTAATTCTATTATTGTTGGACCCTGTGAACATAACTGAAATAAATAGGTGTGACTCCAATTTTGACCCAAGGGGTTACTTGGTAACTGTATGTTTTCTGTTCTTGGCTAAAAGAAACAAGTAAAAGCGTAAATCCATGATTTATTAAAGGCACAAAATTTTAATAGCACCTTGTTAGTAGCAAAAATGCGTCATGAACGAAAAAAAAAGGTGTACCACATGAATTTACATCTATTCTTGTGTAATGTCAATCAACATCACGTCCAGTTTAGAAGTAAAATTCTGAAGACTAGAAAATGTCTGTAAGACATGCATGTACCCCCATCCCCCACCCTTCTCGATTAAATTTACTGTGTTCTTTGATCTTCACAATTATGCAAAGCAACCCGACACTAAATTCCCTTTGGTCAGTTGATTCTTTATTATTCATCAGTGAAAAGATATGAAGTTTGACCTTTTACTTGGTGACTGACATTTGTCGAGTAAACTCTTTGTTTAATTCTGACCAACTTTGCTTCATAATGTCATGAAATTGTCATTAGTGAAGAAATGCAAAATCTGATGCTCAGAACTAAGAATTCATCAGTAAAATGATATAAAGTTTGACCTAGATTTTTTACCAAGTGACCTTGACCTTTGGTGAGTCGACTCCTTGTATAATTCTCAATAACTTTGCTTCTTGTCATAACACAATTTTCGTTGTCAACTTGTCAGAGATATTTTTTAACAAAGTTTCATTGAACTCCGTCAACATTTATTCAAGTTATCGTGTTTACAAGGTCCAATAATAATATTATTACAAAGGGCAATAACTCTGTAAGTTACTGTCGAATAATTCCCATTTAGAGTCCGGGATCTTATTGATATTGGCTGCATACAAAGTTTCATCAAACCCGGTTAACATTTACTCAAGTTATCGTGTTCACAAGGTCAAATAATAATATTACAAAGGGCAATAACTCTGTAAGCTACCGTCGAATAATTCCCATTTTCGAGCTCGTCCGAGATCTTATTGATATATGGCTGCATACATAGTTTCACAATAGGTTACCATGACCTATGGTCAGGTAACCTAAAAACTGTTATTCAAACAAGAAAACAAACACCTGATCAATGAAAACATACTTTTTATTATTTTGAAGAAATATGTATACACAGAATGATGGGAGATGATAAAAGTCTATGCGTATGGTAAAAGGTTACATTCAGAAATTATCACCATATTATCGTCTTGCTGCTTCTGATAATAGTTAATCCCAAAATATCGTTGAAATATTTTGTTATGAAGTAAAAAAAAGTCAACATTCAAAAGATTTTTAATACAAATTACCATGATTGTGTTTTCATGAATATTTTTAGAGCCCTGGTCCACAATTAAATTGTATTCATTATCAGGAAATACCTTGAAAACAACTGCATACCATATTCAATGATGAACTAATCAAAATATCCTAGTTGATATTTAAAGTTATGGCCACTGAATACGAACAAAATCAATTCATATCACACAGATAGTCCAATACTTTCCAGAGTAAACATTAAAGTCTATTTCATCAGAAGTTCTCCAAGGAAACAAAACATCTCAAACGTATAGACTTGCAGATAACAATACCAGTATACAAAATCCAACCAATCCTGATCCATGTTTGTATACACATCCCCATACTGGGATGAAGACATAGAACTCACATCTCCATGTTGGGGCTCTGTAGCTGCTGACTGATAAGGGCACCTGCTAAATTGTCCTATTAGCTGGTTTTATAGACGACTGGTGGAGCAGCAAAGCTAGAGTCAACCTGCTGACAAATATTCCCTGAACAGTTCTATAACTGATTGATTCACAGACAAGTTACATTAACTACCACAGTGGACAGGTTCACATAGGAAATGTACATAATGAATCAGTTGGACTGAGTTGTGACTGATTGTTCATGATAAATACAACACCATATAAAATAACATGATTTTTATCCACTTAGCACTCCCACATCCCAACAACATCAAAGCTATGGCTGGCTTAATATGGGAATATTTCTACCCAAAATAGATTAAATCTGGGAGGTTTGATGAATGGGACGTCACCTATGACAGACAGGACTGACGTGACAAATATTATTTCATTTCTCTGTAGCGTCTGGCAGTGTCATCGTGGCCCTGGCTACAAATTAAAAATCCATTAAGATGTTTTTATATTTGTTCACTATCATCTACACACTATAGTTAGTAACATCCACAGTGTCTCTCTTGGAACAGTTTATACATATTTACACCAATGTTTATTTACACATTAAAATGTTTATACAAGACTTAGATATACTGTAAATAGCAGTGTTGTAATATTCTGCTTCAAACTTTCTATATATTATAAGTTTTTCCTGTACACATGAACCACACACAATGCCAGAGGGTGGAGGCATGGTGAACGAGAAGTAAAACAAACCTATCTGACCAAGTAAAACTGTATGGGATAAAAACTGATAAAATATGTAAATGTGGATGGTTTTGAAGCACATCAGACAAATTGTTCTCATGAATTTTCATTTTTTACCAACAATTTAGATAAAAGTCTTTTAATGAAGACTGACTCTAAACTTTTATTTTCTCCCCGAAAGAAAAAATAAATCATCTGATCAGGTTGAAAAACAGTTTGGAAAGGAAGCAATTGTTTATAAAATTCAATTTAGTGTAATATTGCATAGCTCTTGTAATTTCCTTAATTAGAATTTTATCAAAACAGGCATCCTCAATAGAGAAATACAAATCCATTTGAGAAGATTTCCACTATTTACAAACAGTGCAGAATGCTATTCATATTTTTTAAAAATATATCTTTCAAAGTTTGGTAAATTCAAGTCTTTAAATTTTAAGATTAAAATATGAAGTTACACTTAAAACAATAGGAGAGTCAACATTGTGTGGTTAATTGATCTGTGGTATGTCTATAACGAGGTTAGAAAACCCATCATCATCACTGTCATCAAACATGGGGGCAACAGCCAGGGGGTCCCCTTTGCCTCCTTGTGCTTTCCGACCCTCCACACAATCTGCCTTGCGCCCTTTCTTACCACCTGCCTCTGGGGTTACTCCACTCCCCATCTGTCGCTTTCGACGACTGTCTTTTTTGTTTAAGCTGCGTTTTCTATCAAGGTTGGTGATAGCTTTATGAGGAATGTTTACACTCGGGAGTTTTTTTGTTACAGTCTTTCCTGACTTTTTTGTATCCAGTGTTTTTGAGACATCATCCTTTCCATTTTCCCCATGATTATCTGCAGCTGAATGATTACTGTTGTCTGCCATGTTTTCTGTTAGCGTATCGTTCGCCTCCCCAACATCGGATTGGCTGTCTGAAACAAAAGAGGATGCACAGCTGGATGATGTTGCCTCTGTGTCTTCATGCTCCATACACAAGAGAACACCATTGACCTCGATCAGATTGTCCTCTATATGGTTCTGGCAGAATGAGTTGGGACATTCCTGACACATCTTCACCGCCACCTTACCACACATGTCACAGTGATGCCAAGGGCAGTACCAGCTCCCTGTAATACATAAACAAGAGGTCAATGGGGCCTGTATCACACACATTTCTGACTTGACCTTTGTTTAGTTTTAATAGTTTAGTTTAATGTCCAATCAACAGCTATGGTAATTTAAGGACGGCCTCCCATGTGTGCAAGATACATGCGTGTAGTGTATTTAACGTCCTATAAACAGCTAAGGTCATTTAAGGACGGCCTCCTCTGTGTGCAAAATGCATGCGTGTAGTGTATGCGTGTGTGTTTTGGACCTTTGTGAAGATAGGAAATGCTTCATTTATTTTTATTGAAACTACAACCAAACTTGAAACTGCTTGAAACATGTACAGTTTATAAAGTCTTAAAACCATGTTAATTGAATTTCTTGGTTTTCCCAAAGTATTTGGAAATCACCATCCTACAGATTAAGGAAAATTTAAGGCACATTTTAGCATCTAAATCCACTTTTCTTTTTCAACACAGTATTTTCTGAAGTCCTTATTGTAATAATTCCTCATGAAAGATACAAATCCTCTGGAGTTTTGTGAATTTAAGATTTTAGATCTTATGAGGTATTGTCACACTCAACCAAGATGTCACATTACAATACTCTTAAGACATTCATACTTGATTAATATGTGAAGTTTGATGAAAATAAATCATGTCACCTGAGAAATGACAAAAACATTTTATAACTAGAAAATATCTTCAGTCATGAATGCTTCCTCACCAATGCAAATTAAGTGTCAACGTTCAACTGGTTAACAAATTTCTGTAATTAGAAACAGTGACCTTGCCATCCAGAAACAGTGACCTTGCATTCCATAAGTACAACTGATTTGATCTTTGCATAAATGTTGATAAAACTAGAAAATGTCTGTAAGACATGAAAGCCCCTGCCATCATGTGAAGTTAGTTTCAGTGTTTGATAATGTTCTTAACCTTGATCTTGACACCCTGAAATATGAACATAAACAAGGAACTATCATACTTCAAGTTGATAAATGGAGAAACCACACCGAACAATTGCAACATGCAAGTGACCTTTGAAACAAACTCATCTGTGGTATTCTCATTCCTAAAATCTGTATACATTCTGATCAAAATCTGTAAAGAAATGAAGTACCTGGAGTGATGACATTAAATCATTTGATGACTTTCTATATATAGCAACCATTACCTTGGCCTTGTTCTTCCAACCCTCAAGCCAAAAGATGTCTGCGGTATTATCATACCTGACCTTTGTATAAATTTTGAGAATAAAGTTGGTAGATTGATGACACTGAATTGGTTGATGATTTCTATATACAGCAACAGTGACCTCGGCCTTAGAACACTAAAATACGGGCATGTCAAGAGGTATTTGCATACATAAGTTTTATCAAAATCTGTTAAATAATGCAGTTGATAAGGTGTTTACAATGAATCGCCACAATATGGACAAGGGCAGCACTATATGCCCGCATAAAAAGGCAGCAGTGCCACTATTTTGTCATCCTGAATCATAAACTACTTGAGATTTTTTCATAATTGACCAACACATAGATTTTATCACTAACCGTGTGGTGGTCTGTTGAGCTTGAGACACTGGAGATGATAGACTTTGGGACAACCAGCTTTGTCACACATGACAAGCTCACCACCTTCTCCACACCTAAAACATTCATCTTCATGTTCTTTCTTGATATCTGTTTTTATCTTCTTCGGCTTCTTTTTCTTCTTCTTTGCCTCCAATGCTTCTTTAGCTCTTCGCTCATTAGCGACAGCAGCTGCAGTCTGCAATCACACAACCATAATACAACACCGAGATCAAATATACCAAAGAAAATCTTCATACACCGATTCCTATAATTTGGATCTTGATATTTTTTAATCCAGGATATTTTCCAGTACTGTATAACACGAAATGTTGGTGGGTAGTTTCCTTCATGGTTTGAGGCCATTTAGATCGTTTCGTGGATATCCTATATTAACAGTAGACATGTGTATCATTCAAATTTGTTGTATTTAGTTTGTGGTTCAATAGTAACAATGAAAAACCACGAATGTTCATACACAACCAACATTTTATGTTATCCAGTATGTATTCCAACAAATTGATCCCCAATCCTCCTAGATTAATTTAAGTTTTCAGATTTATAATAAATTATTATACTAATATCTATGAAAGAATTACTATACACATTTTCAATTGAACCATTTTTTAAGGGGATGGTGAGATATTTTTTAAGAGATCCAATCACTAGTCAATCAAAACAAAACTGTTCCCCAGCCATGTCTGACGAGTACTTTTTATCAATTAACCATGAAAACCAATTACTGTGTTTTTCCATGTAGAAATGAAGAAAGTGTTGTCTCACCTTGGGTCGAACACCCAAAAATCCGCTACAGTTAGGAGCACCACAACAACATGCTGTCTTATCATTACCAAGGCATTCAAGATTGTAGTTGAAGGTCAGCTCAGAGCCTGGCAACCAAAAATAAATCAATGACATGTCATATTTTGACATCACAAGCTTACACAGTCATATCAGTTTTATAAATTAATGGCATATTTTTCTTGTTAGTAAAATTATGATCAACGGCTTTTTACTGACATTGCCAGAGATCTTCCATTGTTTTTAATACTTTGAATGTCAAATGAAAATCATAAGGATGAAACTTGCTATGGTCAAAACACAAATATTTCATTCAAAACCAACTCATTTTATCCCTCTATGAACTTAACCATTCATAGCCATATTCAACACTTAAATACATAAATTGTTCACGTAGAATGAAACTGAAACAAATTGATTTAAGCACAATGTAGTGTCCCCTTGACCTAAGGATGCTCTAGACCATATTAGGTTAAAATTATTTTAACTTGTTCTGCACAAGGGAACCAACCTGCTGGTACGTCATGGAGGGCAAAGAGTCCCACGCGAACATCTCCATTGACGGTCCACTTCTGTGTTTCACAGTTCGGGTTGCAGCAGTGGTTCATAAACCGAGACAGGTTGCCTTTGGGGCCTGCATCTATAATTCTACAAGACAGAACAAGTGGAGGACGTGGTTTAGAGAACAAACACAATGTTGAAATAGTGTGACAGCCTAAAGGTATGAATTTAAACCTTGTATTTTCGAAGCGGCATAAACACAGTTTTACTGCCGAACACAGGCTATTTCCCCTAGCTAAAAAGAGCCTTCTTTTCCCAAAATCTGAGGAATACAATTTCAATACAAATACTGCTCTATTTTTCCCAATCCTTAAAGGAACAGGCTGTTGTAAAATTTAGGTAACAAAAACACTGAGTCATCATCATATTTGATTATCAATACCTTATATATCAAACATGGTAATATCAGTTTTATCTTGTACTTTGAGCGGTAAGTTAATCAAGTCATTGATGGACCAGATTCCCAGAATCAAAGTCATTTATCTCCCCTTAGTTGCAGAATGGCCATAGAAAAAAATCTATGATCAAGTTTGGAAGGGTTTGATTTAAAATAACATAATAAATCATAAACTTTACTATTAATGTAAGCAGACAAAATTTCACTATTTGAACTCAGGTGGTAAAATCCAGTTTTTCCTACATTAATACATTCATCCAGTGTTAATTTATTGGTGTTAATTTCCTCCATTACATTAAAATTCTATATATGTTTGAGATTACTTATATTTTGTGAAAGATATATCTTTGTGTGAATTTGTAGGAAGCTTTGTTAAGAAATTTTAGTATCCTATAAATATTTGTTGAAATATGCATATAAAATTTCTGGAAGAGAATGACACTAACCTGCAATGTACACGAATAATTCAGCACATGAACTCAACATCTGTGCGTCCAAAATAACAACTTACTAATAGTAAAAAAGTTTTTCATTTCAGAGATATGAATTTAATGCCATTTAAGCATTAAAGCTATTTTGGTCTCTTTGGAGTATAACATATAGATAGATAAGCCATTTTAATTAATCAGTTGTTATACTAAATCAAATGACTGACAGCACCAACTGAAGTTTACCAGCAGCAGTAAAGGTTGATATTCTTCACAATTTCACAGACTGATGAAATGCAATGATACAACTTTTCATGAAAATAATCTAGGATATATATCACAAACCTGTTTTTGTCCAGTGTTAACATGTAGAAATTAGAAATGTTGGTCTCATGGGCCGTATCAATTCTCTTTTTCACCTCCTGCTCGTCAATCAAATCTCCTACATACTCATTCACAAACTGTCCCTGTAAAGTCAATACCATTGATTAAGTTCTCTCATTTCGAAACCAGATTTTGATATTGTTATGTACATTTTTTTTCATTTTCTACTGCTGAATCTTTCCTCTCAAGTAATGCAGTTAAATATTCAATTGTGTTCAACTCACAATAAATCAACGATAAACTGCTATTTATGAAATCTGGATTCTTGCCAACAAATGTTGTTCGGTCAATGACAATACATATAACATGTGGACTCTGTAAAATCCAGAACTCACTGAAAACCAAACAAATCATGTGGTCCCATTCGTATCCAGTTTAACAATATATAGACATTTCTATCTTTTTATCAATACACAATTAATACCTTTTTAACATCGGCTAGGGTTTTCAGTCCCCAGCCTCTGCCCTCGGCAGTTTTAAATGGTACAGAGTCGGGGTAAGTACGTTTCTGGAAGCGTTGATTCTGACATTTTTCCCCAGCAGGGCACACAGCAGGATTGCACTCATACATCAGCATTCGGTTGAGACAGTCCGTCTCACTGCTGCAGGGATTCTCATGATCTGGTCGACATTCACACCTTGGGATCTCCGACAAGTCAGCCTTGTAAATCTGCACACTACCCAGAGGAACATTTGACTGTGAATGTAAAAGGGTATATATAGCATAATCAGTTTCTTCTAAATCAAAATGTGTTTTATGCTACTGGTATCTATTTAACAGTTGGAATTAATGAACAAAGAAATCAAGTCAAAGTACATTTAATGATTTTCTATATAAACTTAAAGGAAACGCCATTATATTATTTGAATCGACAGCATTTCACCTTAGGTACCAAAACCAATGCACTATACTACGAGTCCATACCCGATTAATGATTCCTACTATGCTAGTCTTAAACTTATTTTTATAGTGCAAGTGTACAACTTGTTTAACTAACTTGTAAGGAGCTGGATTTTATTGTTTAATACTCACTTTGACAAACTTGTAAGGAGATGGATTATACTGTGAAATATTCACTTTGACAAACTTGTAAGGAGCTGGTTTATACTGTGAAATACTCACTTTGACAAACTTGTAAGGAGCTGGATTATACTGTGAAATACTCACTTTGATAAACTTGTAAGGAGCTGGATTATACTGTGAAATACTCACTTTGACAAACTTGTAAGGAGCTGGATTATACTGTGAAATACTTACTTTGACAAACTTGTAAGGAGCTGGATTATACTGTGAATTACTCACTTTGACAATCTTGTAAGGAGCTGGATTATACTGTGAAATACTTACTTTGACAAACTTGTAAGGAGCTGGATTATACAGTGAAATACTCACTTTGACAAACTTGTAAGGAGCTGGATTATACTGTGAATTACTCACTTTGACAAACTTGTAAGGAGCTGGTTTTCTGTCTGTCTTTTGTTGTTCTATCTGTTCCTTGTTCTCCTTGGCCTTTTTCCACAATTTGTAAGCTTCCATGGCCTCTGTTACACCTGGAGAGAGAATAACATCAAATACAATTAATACTTCTCACGGCTATTCCATTAAAACATAACCCTACCCCCCGGACGGCAAAATATACAATTAGACTATTCAAATGAAAATAGAAATGATGAGCAACACCACCACTAAATCCGGTACAAAATGTAACGTTTGATTTACATCCTACGTAGGCTATTCAGTTCAATATATGCATGTATCCTAACCATGGATGACTCAATTTGAAACAGGCCTACATCAACAAGTGTTTTCCCCGCAATACCTAACCTTTAACACGAGTGATTTTATTTTCATGTCTTTGGGTGGACCATGTACTTTTAAACAGAACAGTCAAACAAAATTTGCAAAAATGTCATACTTACAAAATGTAATTAATGAGGCATTTTCTAAAATATTTCCAAGACCAACAACAGGCAGGACTATTCCAGTAAAACAACTAAACCCACCTCAGGAACCAAGGTTTTGTTTAAGGGTATAAACCCACCTCAGGAACCAAGGTTTTGTTTAAGGGTATAAACCCACCTCAGGAACCAAGGTTTTGTTTAAGGGTATAAACCCACCTCAGGAACCAAGGTTTTGTTTAAGGGTATAAACCCACCTCAGGAACCAAGGTTTTGTTTAAGGGTATAAACCCACCTCAGGAACCAAGGTTTTGTTTAAGGGTATAAACCCACCTCAGGAACCAAGGTTTTGTTTAAGGGTATAAACCCACCTCAGGAACCAAGGTTTTGTTTAAGGGTATAAACTGTAGAATTTGATCGACTATTTGTATAAAACAGACAGGAAACGCAACAACATGAGAAGTGATTTTTTTGTTGTACAAGGATTGGGATATCAATTTTTGTTTTTATGATAGGAATATCTTCCTTATGATCATATGCTTCATATACCACCCTCACTCACCTGTATTGATAATTAATCAATATTGCATGGCCTTATGACCTAATATTTACTGTGTATCCTCTATTTAAAACAAATCTAACAAGGCGACATTTTATCATAACCTGCTGTTTATTCAGTTAATATCCCATCAGTTTCACATCAACACTAGGATTAGGTACCATGCTCAGCCAAATATTTAGGAGGCACGGTAGTCTAGTGGTATGACGCCAGACTTGTGACCTAAGGGTTGCGGGTTCGAGTCACATCGTGGCACTGTGTTGTATTGTTGAACAAGTTACTTTATTGAACAAGATACTTGCCTCCGCTTGTTCCAGTCTACTCATCTGTAAATGAGTATGTGGTCGGGCAATGTTAGAATTGTTGAATGCTAGTTAAGAGCGCCGAAATGGCAGCATCGGCTGTATGCTCCCCAGGGAGTTGAGAAAAACATTGGCTTGATGCAAAGGCCCTATAACCACAGATAATAATTTGTGAATCGCTTAGAGATGACTTACGAACTAGGTTGTGATGAAGCGGAATGTAAGAACCTCAAATTATTATTATTATACTGGTAACCAACTGTCAGATAATCTATCTCCCCTAACCTAATGCTATACATGTATTTACTACCTACCATTAGAGAACACCTTAGCCAGGTGCTTCCCCAAACTGGACTCCTTGCTTCCCTTGTCCCCTTCTTGGAATGAAAATACCCTGTAAAAATATTAGTGCACTCAACTTAATTTTCAGCAATATCTAGTACAATTCTACACAAGTGTTTTTTCTACGTAAATTTTTTCAACATGGTGTTCCTACATGAATTGGGAAAATGTAACATTATTTTCACTGAAATCAGGAAGATATTCCTCAATTTTTCTTCATTTTGGGAAAATACAGCACTTATTTGTTGGGGAAAGCAGCTTGTATTTGGATGTAAAACTAGGCAAATAATATCACTCACTAATCTAGACAAAATATCATCGAAGTTTTTTACTTTGTGACAACAGCATTAAACAATTGCTGATTAAGTATTTTCAGACATTGATATTCACAGAACCTTTTTACACTTCCATCCAGACCTTCAAAGAGTGATTAATGTAAGTGGATAACTTTCTTTCACAACTGTTGTCAAATAAATTGATTCTAATACTAGTAAAATTACCTGCTTATGTTTTTCATTCATGCTTACCTGCCCATGTGAATCCAAAAATAGTCGTGAGAACCGAAGAATCGGACAGGAAACTCGCCAACCTGGTGATTCTTCTCTTGGATATTCAAAGGCACATTATGAGGACAACAAATCTCACCAGGCCACCATCTACAGAAGAACAAAGCAAGTCTACTGATGTCAGAAGATGGGACAAACAAAATTTTATATTTCTCAATGATTCTTTCAAATAGATACAATCTTACTATTTTTTAGTCATTTGATCGTACTGAATGAAGATTGATTTTTTGATAGATATATACATCTATTTTCAGAGGTTGACTTCAATAAAAAGACTGAAGTTTGAAAAGCAAGGTAAAGTTACCACTGCACAAATTATTTTTCTTCAAAGAAATTTTGACAATCTTAAAGGATTTATGTACCTATAGTTCCCGAGCTTCACCCAAATAATATCTCCATACAGTGGTCTTTTGCCCTGAGTACAATCATGACAGTACCAACTGCCCTCAGGCGTATGATCCATCTTCAGGCACTCTGCATGGAAAGCTGCAGGGCAACTCTCACAGCACAGTAAGGACCCTCCTATGGATTACATAAATAATAATTACTGCACATAGCAATTACTTAAGTAATAATTACTGCACATAGCAAGTACAATTATGTTAACATGACAGAACTTTAGGAGACACCACAAAAGTCACCTCATAACATTTTGCAGTATGCAGAAAATACTTTATACATCTTTTACAAATTACAAAGATTTGGAAAATGTGTTCAAGTTCCACATTACATAAATGATAATCTAAAAAAACAAAGTCGGAGTTACAGTCAAAAATGATGATCCAGAACTCCTATTCAAGAAACCATTCTCAAGCTAAAGTCCACTTTCTTCATTTTCAATTTCTCATTGAAATCATGTGACTCTATCAACAGCTAAGTTCTTTCACATACTTATAAAGTGTTCATTATAAGTTTGAATGATTTGTGACTAGAACAAGGACCTAGAACAGAATACGGGTGTGAGCATGAAAACAGTTTCATCAAGACAGGTCCAGGACTCTGAATTCGGTTTTAAAGAAATCCCTAATAGTGTGTTATTTATTTTTTCCAAATCTAAGTGTCATGATCACAGCAAGTCTTTGGAATATTCAACAGAACAACAACTAAAATCAAGGGCTTATAATAGGTTCAGTGCATGACAGTTTCATGTCAATGGAGTTTGATTTAAAGCTGTACCTCTGTTGCAGACAAAACACCAGCTGAGGTTGACGTGACTGTGGTGTCGCTGGGACGGTAGTGGCTGGAAGTGTTTACTGCAGAGAATGTTGTACCCTGGCAGAATCTCGCTACCGGCTGCTATACAAAACTCTCCTGTATGGTACGCTGTCGGACACTGGATACACCGTAAAAGTTTACCTGCCAAAAATCATTTCCATGTTTGATTATGGTACTGTGTTATCTCATTCACCCCTGAAATTTCATAATGAACTATTCCAACCTGTGAATTGGAGGAGTTCAAATGTGTCTTCAGGGGTGAACGAGTTAAATTTCGAGGAGAAAGCAATTACTTCTCAACAGCAGCATCACAATAACAGGTTTTGTATAACTATTTTGTTAAGGTAGTTCATTCATTTATTTATTTCCGATCCAACAGACCCAAGGGTCCACTTACAGAATGGATAACAACATTACAACACAAATATACAATATCACAGTCAGTTATGCATGTAACACAGACTAAAAGATACTCATATGTAAAACAAATGGAATAAGCGATAGCAAATATTCGTTAACCGTACTTTGAACTCTGCGAGAGGAACAAAACATATCAGTCTGGTGCAAAATCAAGATAGTTAAAATTACATTGAATCCTGTTTAAAACACTGTACTTTCTAACATGCCACGTGACATTTCAATCAATTTATGTACTCAACATGGCATTGTAAACAGATAAAGTCACACCAGTTATACTGGACACAGGAAATTGTCTATTTATGTACTCAACATGGCATTGTAAACAGATAAAGTCACACCAGTAATACTGGACACAGGAAATTGTCTAAATCTAATTGACTTAAACCGGTAGTTGAGTTAAATACCTGTATTCCATTGTTGACATTGAGTTGAAAATGTAAAAGTGATCACCTGTCCTAAGATTTTTATTAGAAATAACAAATAAGAAAAAATATATCTATAAATGGTGAATGACCTTGATCATTGCACCCTAAAGCAAAAACTCATTCAAGGTATTCTAATATATATATGTAAAGTTTGATACTTTTTTTAATCTAAACCAGAAAGTGATCTTGACCTTGCCACCCTGAAACATAAGCTCATTAGATATTCTTATACTTGATCAATACATGAAAGTTTGATTGAGGTCCTTGAGGATTAAAGTAGCTAGATAACAAATGTGAACATTAGTACAAACAGTTAGCTGGACAGAACGCTATATCTCCTCCATGACCTAGTCATGAGAGGAGGAAAAGGAGCGTGGTTAAAAAATCCAGTACGGCTCCTTCATTGGTCAATAGAGATTTTTGAACCAGTTAGATACACAACATCAAGCCAATCTTAAGCATTTCTTCTGGGGTTTTACAATTCCACTAGTCAAGTCCTGGTCTAGTAGATGTTTTTTTTAAATCTGCCTGCAGGCTAGTATTCTAAATAGGAAATTACACACCCCTGAACATCAAAGTTTCATTTGGTTAAGAGTTTAAATGTTTTTATCAAAAGCGAAGGTCATTTAAGGATGTGCCTCCATGAGTGTTATGCATGTAAGTGCACTAGAGACAGTATATAGCGTGGTGATGCTGACTTTGAGTGCAGTCTCACTAAAATAACATGCTGAACACATCCAGCATGGGTTGTTCACATTTTATTTAGATCACTGGTACATTTATGAAATAAATTTCTGTTCTGGTCAAATATTACAAACTATGAACTTTTAAAAACACGGGAAAATGTAAAACAAAGGGAAAAATTGTTAGCTACCTTTCTGGTGGAATGGCTTTTTGGGAATTATTAAACATGAATTGATTATGATTTTTTTTAGAAATAACAACACCTTTATAGTGGCTTACCTCTGTTACTGTTCCTGGCACTCTTGGGATTATCTATAGAACAGGTGGCACAACAATGTAGGGGACATACAAGCCCTTTACTTTCTGTCCGTGCATTCAAACACTTATTCACACAGTTTTCATGGTAAAATTTTCCACATGCAGGCACAGTACAAATTCTCGTGTCTTTATCAGCCTTCTTGCAGCAGAAACATGTATGGTTTCCTGAAATCAGTTATTAAGAAATTCATCAAATGATTTGTTAAGACTTAATGTACAGAAAAATGATTCATATTTCTCATACTCCAGAGAGGCATGTTCGACGTAAAAACCTGTACTAGATTTCCCATACCTATGACATGAAAATCTGATTTGAAAACTAGGTGAGAATTTGAATTCCCTACATATACATGTATTAGCGGGTTTTTTTATCATCTGATTTGCACTTATTCAAACCTTTACTTGAACCTAGATGAAGCCACAGTGACTTAATTACAGTGAACTGAGTGATGCTTGAATACTTTTAGTTTCACCAAGACATCTTTAAATGTTAACAAGAGGCCCATGGGCCTTAACGGTCACCTGAGTCTATAGTATTTATTTTTGTTGTTGAAATATGTACCAATTTGAGTAAAAAATAGTATAATGTTAACTTAACTTTGTCAGGACCATGAGCTGATCATTCCTAGACCAATTTTAAGTGAGATCGGCCTATTAGAACTTAGTAGCAAAATAGCGGCCATGGCAGCCAAATTGTATTTCTGATTGACCCGAAAAATAACAACACTTTGTCAGGACCATGATTCGATCATTCCTACAAAGTTTCAGTTCAATCGGCCAAGTAGATCTTTACTTTAAGTTTGAAATAGTTTACCAAAATGGCAGCCGTGGTGGCCATATTGGATTTCTGATCGACCCGAAAAATAACAACACTTTGTCAGGACCATGAGTCAATCATTCCTACAAAGTTTCAGTTCAATCGGCCTAGCAGAACTTGACTTTAAGTTTGAAATATGTTTTCAAAATGGTGGCCGTGGCGGCCATATTGGATTTATGATTGACCTGAAAAATAACAACACTTTGTCAGGACCATGAGTCGATCATTCCTACAAACTTTAAGTTCAATCGGTCCAGCAGAACTTGACTTTAAGTTTGAAATAGGTTTTCAAAATGGCGGCCGTGGCGGCCATATTGGATTTCTGATCGACCCGAAAAATAACAACACTTTGTCAGGACCATGAGGCGATCATTCCTATCAACTTTCAGTTCAATCGGCCCAGCAGAACTTGACTTTAAGTTTGAAATGTAAAATGTTAACGGACGACGGACGACGGACGACGGACGACGACGGACGAAAACGGATAGCAATAGGTCACTTGAGCTAAAGCTCAGGTGACCTAAAAATTACAGCCAACTTACAAAAGAAGCAGAGGGCAAAAATTATAATGGGCGACTTACTGACATATGCATGTTGGGGCCTAAATAACTGTTAACATTTGTTTCTGGAGATTGAAAAACATAAGCAATGCTGATAATTTCCAAAAAAATATCATGTACTCCATGCCTGAACTGTGGCTTTACCAAGTTGTTTTCAGCTTGTTTGATTTTTTAACCTTAGAAAGCATTTGGTACATTAAAAATTATTAGAAAATGTTTTGTAATTTCAACAATAAATTTAGGTTTATAAAAGTGTAGAATAAGATAGGAGGTTCAATCAATTCTCATAAAATTCAAACCATTGGTATGAAGTAACAAAGTCTGAATATATAGATTTCGACATCACTAACAAGATGTTATCCCTAGTCTTTGTAAAGGCATTAAAGCCTTGACTACAAGTGGGATTTCCTTGTATGAGCAACACAAGAAGACAAAGTATGACCAGGCACACCACAGGAGCAAGTGACCAGTGATCACTGACTATTTACATACAGATATTGTACTGGAATTCCCGGGGTATCGTAAATGGTCTCATTACACTGTTAATACACTGAAGGATTCTTGTCCCACTGCACAGTATATTTTTTTTATCATAAACAGTGACCTCCCCTTAATTTTGTTCGGGATATGACTAGCATTGTTCGGCCAAATCACTTTTGTTGATCAGGTTACTCAGTCAGTTAGAGGGATAGCATAACAAGTCCAGGGTTTGAATCCCAGTCTAGGCCTGCTGCATGATACAGCAAAGCTATACTCATGCTGGAAAAATACTTTCCAGAGCATAATTACAGTTTTTGTCAGCGGTAAAAGGATCCTAAATAGCCCAAACTCTTATAACCACCCACTTCTAACATTCAAGCTAACAATAACAAGCGCCAGAGAGCTGTACGAGTTTGGACTACATCCATAAATCTTGAGGCATGTAATCTGAAGCAAAGCAAAACTGTATATTTGCAAAAATTAGTCTGTTGTAATGTATAGCATGTAGCGTCATTGCAAATGTCTCTATAAATACCTGTAGTGCACTCATCACATTTGAAGTCTCCAGATGGCGTCACACTTAAACCGAGACAGTCTTTGTGGAAGTTCCCCTGACATTGGCCTTCACATATAAGCAGGTCCCCCACCTTGTGACAGATTTCACACAGGTTCTCCTTCATCGTTGGTGCACGTGATGACAATTTAAATATTTCTAGCTCATACTCCTCCTCCGGTTCCTTAGTCGCCGCCGCCTTAGGGACTGGTATCACAGGTTTGCTTTCCTCCTGCCAGACCACAATCATCAGGTTAGGTTTAGTTCACACCAATCAAATTTTACCAAAAAGGGGTTTCCATCAGTTATAGACAGGCTTACTTCATTCAGTATATTGTTAAATAATATATTCAATGATACAAAGAATAACAATAAATTAACTTCCTGTAAGGCCTAAAAAAAAATATTACTTTGTTCTCAGGCCATTTTTTTTTCAAAAGAGATGAGACAGGGAGGTATTTTTTTTTATTCTGTAGTTTGTAAAACGTTAATTGTGGGCATTACCTTGTCAAATGTGCCCGTTTTTTGTCGCCTTACACACACAGATACTTTAGCAGAACAGAGTTTATCTGGGAACGACCATGTTCCAAAATCGATGTTACCGGTTTTTATAGTTGTGTAAAGATCCGTTATGGAGTGAGCCTCCGAAAATCCCCCCATGATGTTCCAGGGAAGAATCACGGACCCCCCTTTCCTTATTTGTACCGAAATGAGCGCCATTTGTACACAAAGTTAGTAAGTCATAATCTTTTCAACGCTTGCCTGTATATCAATTTTCTTATCTTTATTCAAACGTTTTTGGGACTTGTGACTAACGAGTAAAAACATGCGGACCAATTTTCCGGATTCTTTTTAAGAAGGCGGCTGGCGCATTCACATATATCTTTTTATTACTTTCATGATAAAATCGACAATGCGGTGCCCTAAAATGAAATGCGCGTGGGCCTGAGAACCAAGTTATTATTTTTTGGCCTAACACAAACGCAAAACTTTAAAATTCAAAATTTGCTCAATAATTCTTGAAAAGTGCAGTAATTTATGATATATTCCAAAATATTTAGCAAATTTCTACACTTTTCCATGATTCATCTACTTACCAGTACTTTCTAAGCCATGACTCCTATCAGTTAAAACACTTTACATGACCTATGCAAACTATGGTGTCACCGTCTCTATCTCTGTATTGAGTGAAATGTCTGTACAAGGCCCATATTCATGAAACCATTCTCATGCTCAAGCTTAAGTTCTGTGCTCAGGCAAACGTTTTTGAAACTTGCTTAAACCATGCAACACGGTCAAAAAGCAAAGTGTAAACAATGTAAACAGTATTCAGCTTTTAGTCTCTTCAGAATACTTCCATAGAATTGACAAAATGTGAGTTTTATTAATTTACCAGGAGGACAAGAAATTGGGCTTGAACACAGAATCTGAGTTTGGGCACGAGAAAAGTTTCTTTCATGAATACAGACCCTGTGGTTTTAGTGTTAGTGTCAGTATTGACTGAGAGTGTCAGTGCTACTATCGGTATCGACAGAGGATGTATGTACCTGAGTGTCAGTGTTACTATCAGTATCGACAGAGGATTATGGACCTGAGTGTTAGTGTTACTATCGGTATCAACAGAGGATTATGTACCTGAGTGTCCGTGTTACTATCGGTATCAACAGAGGATTATGTACATGAGTGTCGGTGTTAATATCAGTATCAACAGAGGATTATGTCCCTGAGTGTCAGTGTTACTATCAGTATCGACAGAGGATGTTTTTTGTACCTGAGTGTCGGTGTTACTATCAGTATCAACAGAGGATTATGTACCTGAGTGTCAGTGTTACTATCAGTATCGACAGAGGATTATGTACCTGAGTGTCAGTGTTACTATCGGTATCAACAGAGGATTATGTACCTGAGTGTCGGTGTTAATATCAGTATCAACAGAGGATTATGTACCTGAGTGTCAGTGTTACTATCAGTATCGACAGAGGATTATGTACCCGAGTGTCAGTGTTACTATCAGTATCGTGTACCCGAGTGTCAGTGTTACTATCAGTATCGACAGAGGATTATGTACCTGAGTGTCAGTGTTACTATCAGTATCGACAGAGGATGTTTTTTGTACCTGAGTGTCGGTGTTACTATCAGTATCAACAGAGGATTATGTATCTGAGTGTCGGTGTTACTATCAGTATCAACAGAGGACTATGTACCTGAGTGTCGGTGTTACTATCAGTATCAACAGAGTATTATGTACCTGAGTGTCAGTGTTACTATCAGTATCGACAGAGGATGTATGTACCCGAGTGTCGGTGTTACTATCAGTATCGACAGAGGATGTATGAACCTGAGTGTCGGTGTTACTATCAGTATCGACAGAGGATTATGTACCTGAGTGTCGGTGTTACTATCAGTATCAACAGAGGATTGTGTACTTGAGTGTCAGTGTTACTATCAGTATCGACAGAGAATTATGTACCTGAGTGTCAGTGTTACTATCAGTATCGACAGAGGATTATGTACCTGAGTGTCAGTGTTACTATCGGTATCGACAGGATTTTGTACCCGAGTGTCGGTGTTACTATCGGTATCGACAGAGGATTATGTACCTGAGTGTCGGTGTTACTATCGGTATCGACAGAGGATGCTGCAGACTTTCTCCTCCGGCTGACCTTCACTGGTCCTGTTGTAGGAACGGATGTAGTAACCTCCTCCTTTTCCTCCTTTGCCACTACTTCACTTGTCTTCAACACAAAAAAACATATTTCCATATATTACATGTTTAATATATGCACATTGTGAATACATATTTCTATCGGGATATGTTCAAAAATCTACATTTCCTTTTTATTTTTTCCTATACGCTATCAAAAACAAGCTAAAAGGTGCAGAAAGCTAGTCAATGATTGTTTACCGACAACTTCAAGGAAAGTTGGAGGAAAGTTTAAAACAATCCTGACATCCTATGCTGTAGTACTAGCCTACCTCCTGCACTCCCATCACTCCGGTAGCCACATGGTTAATGATACAATCAAGAGATGAACTGGATTCTGGTGTAGTAGGGCGTCGCCCAGATCGGCTAGAAGCCTGTTGACAACAAACGTTGGAAGTCATTAGATCTACAGTCGAACCTCGTTATCTCGAACTGGTATAACTCGAAGACCCCGTTTAACTTGAAGTATTTCATCGGTCCCGGCCAAAACTCTTCTTAATCTTAGTAATAAAAACTCTGATAATTCGAACTCTGAAAACACGAAAAACTTGGATATCCCGAAGTGAAACATCAGTCCCAACAACGAAAATCCTACATAAAAATATCTCCTACCTCGAAGTTTCTTACGATTCACAAGTCTATAATATATTCTTTAATTATTTGATACATATTATACGCAGTGCTACGGTAAACATCGTTCTCATAGAGCAGCTTACTCTCGGTCATAATTACTTCGATTAAACTTATCCCATTAAAATGTGTATGACTGTAAAAACACTTTGTACAAATAAAGAAACAAACTTCATCAATGTTGATTAACAACAATTAGTACTTACTGCGAGCCCGTAAACAATTTGAATAGCACTTTATTTACACCAAAGTTGCCGACACATTCTAACCGGAAAATGGGTCACAGTGTGCGGTCATGCGTAAATAACCTCCACAGTAAAAATCACAACCTAGGACTGGTTCGTTGGTTTATGTTTTTACAGGAGCTTGTATGGCACTGATAATTAATTGAGAGATTATAGGAACAATACGATAATTATTGTTGAGTACGTCGTGTTGATGAGATGTCAAGTGTCATTGGGGTCTATAAATGTGGATATGTTTCCTGATTAACTCATACCCAATTCGGAATGTCGAAATCAACTGAGCAATCCAGCGTGTACGCTCAAATACAGTGATTTGTATAAAGACTTGCGCATTTTCATTTCCGCATTGAAATTTCTATCAGCATAGCACAAGGTCGGAGACAGCATGTGTGTTTATTGTAACATTAATTAATTAATGAATATGATATAAATAAGTTGTTATTTCTTATTTTATAGTTATCTTCTGTCATTTATCGACTGTTTAAATACGTTGATTGTCAGAGAAATCAATGACATATATAGCCTCATATTGGACCAAACACTTTACCAAGCTTTCTGCCAAACATAGGAACTCGCTTAACTTGAATACTTCGAAGTTTCCCAACGATCCCGTCGACTTCGAGATAACGAGGTTCGACTGTAATTATAGGGAGTTATACCAAATGATCTAATTATAGGAAGCTATATACCAAACCAAGTCCTGAATTACCATTTTTCTGTTTCTTTGTAAAAGTATTTCTCCTTTGTTATGTTACTCAGTAGTCTAATTTTCTTGTGTGTAAATGAAGCAAGAAAAACATAGCGAGACAATTCACAGTAGTCCACAAGTAAATAGGTACAAAATGTGTTCAAGATTCCTAGGAGTTACACGGAAGTTACACTATGGACAAACTTAATGATAAAAAGTCGAAGTACAAAATGTGTTCAAGATGACCTTCACTTGGTAAGCAATGTTCTGCCATCCAATGATGTATCTTTATCCAAGACATGCTATTTCTATGTGTTGTGATATAGAAGTAATGACACAGGCAAAACCTTTCCAGCAATACAGGTCAAAGTTCAAATAAGCTTCAAGGAACCAACTTCTTAGTTTGATAATGTGTCATTCTGTCAAACAAGATTTAACCATGTGCCAGGTTTGGCAGTCTAATTTTTTACAATGAATACTCAAGACTTCTTAAAGATAAAGACCATGAAGACGTACTTTTACATTTTGATACTCGTAGGATGTAATAAGTTACTCAATATTTACTTTAAGAGAAGTTGGTACTTTAATATACTTTTAACAACTTGGCTTGACCTTGATAACTAGCATCTGCAGTCTGTCTCGACAAAGATTTCTAGTGGAACTCAAGTCTGTTTTGTTATATCCAATCCATGCCTTTGAGAGATATAAATTGTTTTTAAATTTCAAACAGACAAAAACAACACAGAAAAGAAAAACACTTTTAAATGCCCCCAACCCAAATATGTGTTTAGGTATGCTTTGAGTAAAAGGGACAAGAATGACGCCCTAATTTCCTAAGTTTTATAACATAAGTCACCTTTGGTTTTGGAGTTGCTTTTTTATCAGCTTTGTCAGACAAATCTTCTTCCTCTGTTTCTTCTAGCATTTCTAAAAATTTTGAGGTTGGTTTGGAGATTCGGCCTGATGCCAACTTCCTCTGTGGCTCAGGGGAACCTGCAGTAAACAGAAAATTAGTTACCGATGTATCACAAAAATTAACAATATATATTGCGAAGAAAATAAGTTATATATTTTTAAGTGTGGCCCGACATCTACTTCTTCGAACACACAAAACCATTTAGCAAAGCTTATCCTGCATATCTCAGTAAATGGCACAAAATTTCAAAAAAAGGCAGCATGTTGGATATTTAATCGAGCACATTCGTTCACATTTTTAAACCTATTGGATGCTGCTCCAAGCTACTAGAGAAACCTACCCTGGTCAGATGTGAACTTGGATTTGTATCTAGCTTTCTGTTTTTTACTCATCATACACCATTGCTGCTTCAGATATGCCACCAATCCATCCTCATCCAAGTCTGGATGTTCTTCCGTGGCACTGTCTCTATGCTTCTGACAAAAGACATCAAAGGACCCATCCCCACTCCCGAGTTTCGGCGATACCAAGGGTTCGCTCAAATGAGGGGTCTCCACCTTTTTTCGTTTAGCTGTGGCTGTAACTACCGATTCCTCTTTGTCAGATTTCCTTTTTCTTTTCCTGGTGTCTTTCACAGAGTCTGTTTCCTCCAGTTTAATGTCAAGTTTACTATCGCCCTTGTTATTCGCATTTTTACTTTCACCTTTGTCTTTTGATGCATATATATAGGTGTAGTGCTGTTTTCTTTCATTCCTAGACATCGGCAACGCCTCCTCCGCTTCTTTTATGGCTATATTCCATGCTGCTGTACGACTGGGGTTGACCTTGTACAGTTTTTCAAGTTTTCCTTTCGCAAATTTACTTGCAGTTTTAAGAGCCTCAGACTTGTGATCTTCGTATTGCTTCCTGCCTTTAAATTCCATAATGCTTGAAGAGAAAAGCCATCCTCTCTCTTCTTCATGACCGAAGTACTGCACATGATACAAACGAACCCGTTCTGGAAAATAATTTAGTTATTTAAAAACAATTTTCATTCACTCATGAAATTTCAAATTCACATAAGATTTACTCCGTTCCAGATTAAGACATCATTATAACAGTCAATACTACAGATTTTTCACTTTGTTCTATACTACATTTGTATTGTCATTCTATAGACATGTCACACTAATTACGCACCGATAAATATATATTTATCATAGAATAATGTTTATGCAAAAACAGTTAGGTGTAAGTTATAAACTTGCAAATTTTGGTTGACAATAAAATTTATTTTAAAAAAAAAACATCAAAAATACACATTTTTCAAGAAATGTGTTTGTGCCATGTACTTACTATTGAACTTTGTGTAGAGTCCCTGAAATGGGTCGTAGGACACCATACATGGCCACCAAGGGTGCCCTGGTACTTTTCCCCACAGAACATCACCAACCAACCACTGGGCTGGTTTCTCATTCTCCAGCTTAGAATCTGCTTCTGAAGAAGCCTCCACCTTTATTTCAGGTGTTTTTTTACGCACACTACTTGTTGCAGCCTTAGGTGGCGTTTTCTCTTCTTCTTCAAAGTCAATCTTTTTAGGTTTCCTGTTGCGTTTACCCTGAATCAAAGTTTCCTGGAAGATATTTTTATAAGTCTGGTTTGCTGGTGAAGGTTTTTCAGGGGGACTTTTTGATTCTGTATTTTTCTCTGTACTTTGTGTCTCTGCTGCATTCTTTTTTTTAGCGCTTGAAGCTTTTCTACTCTTTTTAGCACTGCGGGATTTGGACTTGCTTGCATCTTCACTTTTCTCCTTGTCTGCTTGTTCCTCAGTTTTTGCTACATCACCTGTACCTGTAAAAAAAAAGGAACGAGATATCACAACTGAACCAACAGTTCTAGAAAAAATACTCCTCTTAATATTATATCTACTTATAGTCAACTTCAAATTTTCTACAAGAATACATACCTTTTGACAAGAATAAAGAAGAAAATGAAGGATTAAAGGAATATGGTATTTTCATTAAACCAAAACCCTTACCAAAATCAGATTCTTGTGATGAGTCAGCATTACTTAAATCGATGGACTTTTTTGTTGATTTTGATGTGAACATCAAAATAAAACAATTTTTATTATGAACATGACAAAGACGTTATTTCTTGTAGCTAAAGGAAATACATATTCAGACAGCTTGTGAACGTGTCGCAGTCGGACAGCCTTTTCAGAAAGGGCGCGCAATAAATCATTGTTTTATTAACCTTCACGAAAGTCAATAATTAGTTGATTATTATTTCACCACTGATAATACATTAATCATTTAAGAACTAAAAATTGCACAGATGAACACTAATGCACACAGAAATACAACCTGCATCTCTCCATATTTCCAAACTTACTTATTATGTCAGATTGTTAAATCAACCTCCATATTGTTATTTTCAGCCAGAATACAAACATTGAAAGGGCCACTGTACTAAAGTCATATATTAAAGTCTGTATCAAGTTTATTATAAATTATTCCCATAAATGTATTCAAGAATTACAGATTGTCACACTTGTGTTTCCTCATCACGAGCATTTGAATAAAATTGAAAGGCCACCACAGGTGGACTCCAGATATATATCTACATGCTCACGATTAGAAAATTGTTTGAATGACAAACCCTGAAAACACTATGAGATAAATAGTTTAGCATCTATATACTACTTCTTTATCTAGTTCTCCAATCAATAAATAGACAACTAAATACCATTATGGCATAATTGCCAATCAACTTCTAAACCTAATGATCAAGATCCTGTCAGTGACAAATGTAACAAATACAAGTTGTGCGTGTAGGAACACCATCATTGTCCATGAACCTTAAAATTATGTTGAATATCAAAACAATATTCTCGCATTGGCTCTCAGTACACACATTTATACTTAAAATGGTGTATGGTAATATTTTTTCATAATGATTTTCGTTATGACAGACTTTTTTTTAAGCAGATCACCTTTGCATGTGGGACACTTTTGAATTTGTATAGATACTATTAGAATAACTATTTCTGGTTCATGACATCAATTGGCAAGAGTGCACATTCTATTTTGAGAAAGTACATTCCAAAATGGGAAAATCCATTCTGAAGTTGTTCTCAACTTCTTCAGGAGTTTCTCACACTGACAATCTGTGATAATGAATTTATCATGCTTCTGGTAGGTGGTATATCATCGTAACTATATGATAATGTTTGATCTTTCTCACATGACAAATAAACTCAGTATTTAATCAAGAGTGGTGTACCTGGACTAACATCTCCAGCTTCCTGTACACATAGTTCTGTCTTCAGGTCTGCATCCAACTTAACAACCTTTCCTGTGCCCTCAATATGTAATGTTGCCTCTACATCTGGTGCACACTCAGCACTCCCTCTATTGGCGCTGGCCTTGCTCTGCGCAATCTTTGTGTTCCGAGTCAAGTTCGCAATCTGTGGTAGGTGGTGACGAAATCCAACAGCAGCACCAGCAGGAACAGATTTGGGGGACTCGAGGACAGGGTCTGACGACTCAGCAGGAGATTTGCAGTCTCCATTCACAAGTGGCTTGTCCCCAACTTTCAGAATTGGAGGCGATTTGTCTACATCCATGGTCTTCTCACTGCTGCAAGATTACCTGAACACGAAAAAACAGATATCAATTTTCAGATACTAGCTTATACTTATTAACATAAATTATAAAAAAAATAGCTTTCAGAACATGCAGATAAGCAGAACACGTGCAGAATTTTGTCAATGTATTGTTAAGAGAATTTTAAGTGTAGATATATTTACTGCTGATGGTCGTTTTAATGACAAGAAGCAGGGATACTATGACAACATTTCGAAGGCATTTTCCCCCATTAACTCTTTCCGTACCGCAACTCCGGTCCGGATTCCGTACCGGATGTACTTATTAGACTCGCCCCCGCGCATATAACAAAATGGTGGATTATTAAGGTACTTTTTAGACTAGGTGTAACTGCCGCAAGAATTAAACAGGTAACCGTGAACAAATATTGTTATTGTTTCATGTTCTGGTTCATAGACAAACACTTCTTTATTTTCGCAGCATAATGACTAACTGGCAGCTGATTATGACTGAGAAATCGACATTTGTCTGGCAATAAACAAAACGAGTCCTTGTATTTAACACAGCGTTGTAGTGCAGGTTTGAAATGGGGATTGATTATGGTTACAAATGTGGAGTCGTTGATTTTTTTTCTAAATACATGTAGATTTCATCAAGACTTATATAAGAATATTCAAATTTACTTCCATAAATCTCAACAAATATCTGATGATAAATTTATGAGTGTTCGTATCGAATTAGGTTCCCCCAATTTGTTTACATTTGAGGCACCAAACGCAAACATCTTGTGGCAAATGCGAAAACATTAAGTCACATAATAAAAAAAGTGTACTCTGCAAAAATAAAATTATTTCTTCCAAACTGACGGGTTCTGATTTTAGCGACAATTAATTGTTTTGTCGCGACAGTCTCGTGCGATAACCAACTAAACATCAGGCAGGTTACATCAAAGTCTCTTGTCTTGTGTACACGACAACGGGGATGAGACAGCCCTTTATTTTGTCGTCTGTACACGACAATGGGGACCAGGATGACATATTGTTGTCGTGTGTACACGACAACGGTACGGAAAGAGTTAACACACAGAAAAATCAAAGGGTTAAAAAAATGGTTCAAATCTTCTATCAATCATATGATTAATTTAAAAGTCTTGTCAAGTCACTATTTAAATGTTCAAACTATGTCTTCAGGTCTGAATCAACTGAAACAGTTCAAAAAAAGAAGTGCATTCAGAGAATCCGAAGGAAGTACTGTTAAGCAAAGTATTACAAAAATCGAGGGAGTGTTAACAAAATATCTATAGGCAAAAAGTTCACAAATTAAAGTCTTTGAGACCATAATTCACCTCTTCTGTTGTCGTTATTTACTTGCTTCAAACTTTCGAGTGATTTGCAGCATGTATGGTATCTTCTCAATCTTTAATTTATGTAAATTTAGGATCCTATAAATGACCGGTCACCGGGTATTCTCATTCTGAAGGGTTGTATTGTGGTTAATCTTGTTATTGCATTATGATGTGTACTGTAATCTTGTTATTGCATTTGTATGATACACGTAATTCTTTCCGGTGTGGTTAACTAAGAGAGTACAAATAGTATAATGGTGGACTGGGTAATCGTATAATGTTCACTTTACATATTTTTGATGTAATTATGCAGTCTGAAAAGTATATAAAGGCAGGGGGTAAATCTAAATAGCGTAAATACAAATGTTGAAACTACATTTTACTGATAAGCAGTCCTCGTCTCATTTCAAAACAATGGACACTTCCCAGTGAGGGGTCTGTGTTTTGATTGGTACATATTCATAATTATGGTCACGGGCGTTCATAGTACAATAGAAAGAACATTGTGATTTTTAACAAAACCAAGAATTAAAAGTAGAAAAATCAACATAATGTGCAAAATCCATGCATGTCATTTGTTTATCAACATCACCCGACTTATACATCATGCAGGGACACATCTTGCGGTGATCAATTTGAAATAAACTTGAAAAACTATTTCAAATCTTTAACAAACGTTTAAACCTCCATGACAGGGTAAGCATGATGCACAATGAGAAAAAAACTGCGGTTTAACAGCACAATAGACCGCTCGTACACGAAAGCACTTATGGCTACCAGTAGAGTTCGATAGTATTTACTCATATTAAAGGGGTCAAATATGTTTTATAACGTGTAGTAGTAAATGGTACATATACAAAACTGTTTATAATATGTCGACATAATTGATTACCATGAAAAAGACCACAAAATCTTCATACGAGATTTGCGGCAAGCTGTTTTAGCTCCACCGGAAGAAATACTCTTTCATGCTTCGATTTACCTCCAAGTCGTGTCGGTAGCGTTCGGCAATATTCGGCGGGAAAAATAATTGAATATGATTGGCTATTGACAACTTCGGGAATTTCCGACAATATTTCAACCTATGAAAACGGCGGGTAATATCGAAAGTAGCTTTAAGGATGCATACACTTTGAAATCTAAATGTTCCGGAAAATATATTTTTACTGGAATACTTTTCTATATTAGATCATATCATGATCATTGGGAGAGAGAAATAGGAATTACAAACGTTTCGCCCCAAAACCGTTACGCCCCAAACCAGCTCGCCCCAATTTTTTTTCACATCGCCCCAATTTTCGCCCGAAGTATGACAACCATATCGCCCAAAATCCGTTTCGCCCCAAAAGCTATATCGCCCGTAAAATTCTGTATCGCCCCAACCGCTACGAACCGATATTGAACTGTAAAAGGCAGGTAATGGAAGGTAACTTTTTCAATTTTAGAGCTGTGACCATTTCTTGTTTCAAATAATTTCGCGTGGAAATAATCTAATTAATTCTCTTAAACATGTATATCATCTAAAATATACAAATACATGCCTTACATAGATATATTATAGATATGATACGTTAGCTGATTTAAACAGTTTTTATTTGTCATTCAACAAAAAGGATTAGGCACAAGTTATCTCAACTTAGAAACGCCGTCTCCCATACATTTCATTATATTGATTACATGACAACAACAACAAATATATTTATAATATATATGAACAAAGAAGAAAGGAAGGGAAAAGGGAAGAAAAGAAATTTAGAAGAATAAGAAAGAGAGATGATAGGATAATACTACTGACCTTAAAATCTGTTACTATTTTTAATGTAGGTTTGGACTATATGGAAGATATTTTCATTGTCTTCATCTGACAAATTTGGAGAACCGTACATAATAACATTTAGAGAAATATTACAATAACGTGAGATATCATCAATCAAAATTTGTCTTTGTCTGATATACAGCATACAATCAAAAAAGTAATGGACTGCATTTTCACACTCATTTCCACATGCACACATTGGATCACCTACAATATTAACTCTAT